TTCCAGCCCAAATGTCTATGAAATCTATGAAAATCAGAATTGTCCAACTTCTTTGCAGGGGCATGTTGAACCAGTGGGAGCTGCACAGGAGTATACCAGGGTTCCCCTGGGTCACATGAGTTTCCAATGTTGAACTGCCCTCTATGCTGCATTGTGTCATGTGGTTACTCTGGGTTGCAGGTTCCCAGGCCCCACAGGCTGTGCCATGACACCTCATCTCCAGGGGTGGGGGCAAAAAGAGGAAGCTGGAGAAGGGAGAAGGGGCATGGATACTCCAGCTGCTGCTGTAGCTGGAATGATGTGGGGAGTGGCGGCCTGGTGGGAGCTCAGGGGCAGCAAATTAACCTCTCACGAGCGGGCTGCAAGTTGGACAGCCCTGGTTTAAATGATTAACCATTAAATTGCTGATGTCTTGTGATACTTCTTCTATAAAGTGTTTGATCTAGTATTATGGGTAGTCATTTATATCTAACACATTTTATCAACAACATTTCCAATAACAAAAAAAGATTGGGCTTATCTGACAACATCTGTTTTCCCTAAAATCACATTGACTGGCATTATATTCCTGTCCTTTCATGTGTTGATCACTTGAACCCCATGTCAGTTTCTCCATTATTTTGCACAGAATTTGCCAGGCTTGTAGAAGGCAGTGGGAAAACAAATTCTAGGGGCAAGTACCTATGATATCTGAGTATTTACTGTCACAAATAAGCATTTTTGAGGTTTGGAGGCTCAGTTCAGCTGGGAACAACTAAAGAAGGGTTCTCCATACAAATTTAAGTGGGTGTGAGTATTGTTTGGAATGTAGCAGTATTTTTCTGGAAATTATTATTTTTAATGCATTTGAGCCTTAAACAATTTTGAAATACAATATTTATGATAATTGTTCAAGTGACCAAGTCCCCAGTCCGTGGTTTTAGTAGGGGAGAGTCTGGTGGAACTCTTTGTGGGAGTGGAGCCTCTTTTCCTTTTGTCCCTTTCCTGTTTTCTATCACACCAACTTTTGTGCCATATGCATCCTGATTTTT